GTCTGCCTGTTTAGAATCTCCTGCTTAAGACTAATCATTAATCTCATAAAACAAGATTAAAGTTGCATGTTACGCAGAAGTATCTTTAAATATATGTACAGCACAGCACATCAAGTTCAGAAGATTAAAAAGAAAAAATGTTTAGTCCAAAATAATACTGGCTCCAATACAAAAAAAAAATCTTCCAATACTGATGACCTCTAGTAATCCAAGAATAGGAGGAGGAAAAAAAACCCCAAACTTCAAAAAACCCCTCCATGCTCCTATCTTATGGATGGTTTCTATATCCACCATCTCACTTAAAACACTGGTTCTCTTAGCCTGCCTTTGTTTATCTGACAGCAAAACTGCTCCAAACCTGGCTCTGGACTTAGTCTGAGCTAATTAATAGTAAGGTTCACATAGCCTTTCACCTACCCTAAGGACTTAGTAGCAAGTTTAGGAGCTGCACCTCTTCCCCTGCAAACAGTAACACAAACTCTTGTCTCAAGGGCCTATTGCTCATGCCAGGTCCATCAAGCCAAGAAATTTAAAGTGGGTGCTGCTGCACCAGCTTTGTTCAATCACTAAACAGAAATTCTGGGACTCCTAAATGCAGAACTTGGTCTATGGACTTTTGAAATAATAAATTCTAAGGGAGTAGATTTTTTCAAATATCACATTTTTGAGAAAAATCTTTCCTTGTACTGAGCAGTTATATGTAGTGTCTAAATATTAAAATAATGCTGTTGTTTCTTTTACCACAAGTTATGGTAACTTCAAAAGGAAGTTTACCATACATTGAAATGGAATGGAAACCTAACTTTCTTTAAAAAGAAAAGTAATTTGTAAAAAGCATTTATAAATGTGAAAATGATGCAATTTCCTTTGTCATGCTACAATTAACATTATAATTAATTCAAAGTATTGAAAAACTAAAAGCCAACAAAGGGAATTTTCTTAAATCATGACGTTAAAGTTATTTTATTCTATTTCATAAAAACCGACGTGTGCATGTTCTCTTTCTGTCCATATGGTCAGAACTGACAGGGGTTCTCACAGTCTAATACTTTTTTAGTAGAGAAGTTTATTTCAAGTTTGTCAAATTGGTAGCTTGAAACAAAGTTTTGCCTTCCAGACATCTTATTCAGACTGATAATGTAGTACACTTCAGATGTAACTGGCATCACCATACCTAGTACTACAATTCAGAAGTTACTTTAAAATGAAATGGACAATATAGGGAGGGTGTTTTACTAAATAGGGAAAAGTATATGCAACTGGTACAGCTTGGGAAGGACTGGAAAGAGAGAGGAAAAAAACCAGTATGATTCCGGAGGCCAGCAAATGCCTGCAGAGATCAGGATGCAAACACAATCATCAGAACTTGGAATAGAACCTAAAATGCGTGCTTCCCAATGCAAATTCTTTTGTCCAAATTGCCATGTAACTACCAGGAGAGAGTGTGTTCTGGGGAATGCATGAGATAATCGTATTTTTAATAAAGCAGACTGAAAAAGAAGATACTTTAGAGGAGAAAAAAAAAGAAAGAAAAAGGTGACTATTAAACTCGTAAAAGCATGAACAGAAAGTCAGAAAATGCTGGAACTGAAGGTACACATTCAAGTGACATACAGTCCCTTTGTGAAAATGCTTTATGATCCAGAATTTATTTAAACAATTAAACACACAGACACAGCCCCACAGGAGTTCTGACTCCGTGTAGTAACTGTATGGACTTGGATCTGGAAATCAATTCAGTTTATGTGTAAGCTTATGCAATGTCTATAGGATTTCTGGCTCATTTGTTGAAGAAATTAGAAGGCATATAATAAAAGCAGTTTTGCAAACACAGTTTTGAAAATAGAGAAAGACTCATGATTAAGTCAACTGAATATCATTCCAGGCAACTGAATTCTTATATAAGTCTAAGTCATTTATGACACATTTTTCACCAATGGCAAATAATTGCATTCATTTTCTAGATGCCAGCCCTGTATGAAGCTGAAACTAGTGTTCTCAGTAGCTCTGGAAACCACTTAAAATCAAGAGATAACATATTTTAAACTTATGCTATAAAAGTAACAAGTGTTCTGAAAAATGATATGGTAAGCTTCTGAAAAATAGATTTTTGGTGAATTTGACACAAATTGCTCTGTGGATTGGATTCCTATCTATAAAACTAAAATTACAATATCATTTTCACAAGTGTGTTGTGAGGATGAATTAATTAGCGTCTGTGAAGCACTCAGGCCATATAAAAAAAAAATCTCACGATGAAATTAGTAACTCAAGGGAATGCAGAGCTAAGCTGAAGTGTGGTAAATAAAGACCTCAACCCCTACACTGAATGATAAGGATAAAAATGGAACTCTGAATACTTTCCATTCAGTGAATAGCACTCATTTTTCTCCTGAATGGAGCAGAGATCCTGTGGAAAAAAACTGCTATACAATCATGAGAAAGCCATTTGTAATTCATTACTCTGTTCTATATTTGATTCTGATTAATGTTTTCTGTTCCTTTTCACATGATTCTTCTTTTATTCCCATTTATAGTCCTTTTCCATATTTTTTTCTAAACAGAACACAGTGTCAGCAAAATTGATTATAAGGAACTTTCCAACCTAACATGTTATAGTGCCTTCACAATTAGGCACAGAAAACTCAGTCATTCACTGTGATTTCACTTCATCTGAAAAAAAAAAAAAAAATTGTCAGGCAATTTTGATTGCAGTATTTGTCTCATGTCCTCTGTCAGCAGTGCCCAGTTACTGCAGTTTTGTTGGCTATAAACTTTGGGGTGCACTGCAGATGGAGAACTACACTGTGGTTCTTCTACCCAGTGATAGAGTGACCCAGTCTACAGCATTACTATAGCACAGGCCCTGTCTGCTTGATGTTCTGTTAGAAAAGTGGACAGTCCAAAGGGAAGTGTGAACCACATGGCAGGCCACAACAATACCGCCAACAGCTCTCATCTTGGTCACTCATGCCTTAAAGGTTTAACTCATACTCCAACACTTTATAAGCTGCTTAGAAAGCATACCACTCATACCCAAGAACTCCTGAAAGACACCTGCCTAGTACTGCACACTATTAAATTTCCAGCTCACTGTAGGACATGCCATTTTTGCAGTAGGCTCTTTCTGTCCTCCACCAGCCTACACCCTGTCTTAGATCTAGAGCTATCACACAATGGGAAACATCAGCAACACCAAGCCCTGCTTGATATGCTCCATCATCTCTGAGGAGACTACATCCTATCTGCGTTTATGTTCTCTTCAGCACTGACACTGAACTTTCCTCTAAGTAGGCCAGCAGAAATATGTTACATTTCTGGATAGAAAGGAAAGCTGTACAGAGATCCAGACTGCTAGCACACAGGATGTAGTAGTCTTAATGCAAGACAGAAGCACGGACAGATTTACAGTGTATATACTACACAAGCTGTAAGTGATACTGATATTTCCTGGATCTCCCTGCACTAATCCAGAAATCAGACCAAGAGGGGAAACTGGGCCACAAATGGAACACATTTGGCCACTGGGATGCAGCAGCACAGCAAGCAAATTGTATTTACCTTCAGGATTACATACTGAGTAAGCATCTGTGATGCCACAGAATTAAATGTGTTTTATGCTGTTGAAATGTTCTTTGTTGACTAAATCAGTCCAGTATAAGAATAAACTTATGTAGTCATACAAAAACCCCCCATGTTATTAAAATACATCGTTCTCAAATTAATATGCATATTTCAAAATAATTATGTTCTTGTAACTTTGATAGGATTTGCACATGATGTTCATTGCTATTCAATGTCAGAACGAAGAGTAAGATATTGAAATAATACAAAATATCTCAACTAACAGAAGTTTAAAAGAAATCTGTAAATCACACTGAATTACAAACAAGAAACATGCCATAACATGTATACTGACACTCAAATGTATGGTAATTTGTCAACTCTGGAATTTTCTGCCTCATAGCTACCAGTTTCTCTACCCACTTTCCCCCATTTTTCCTCCTCCAATTGGTTCCTCCAACCCAGGAACAACATTCCTGGATTCCTCCTCTTGTAGGGAATAGTAATAAAAAAAATCCTGAGAAGGCAGCTGAAGGCAATATAAGAGATCATACTGGGAAAAGTAGCCTGTCTCTTGAGGAAAATGTGCAAGAACATCCCAGTGCCTGCAGTGCTACCTTATACTTGAGCTTTTATTAGGAATCTTAGGTTCCCAAGCACAATCCCTATCCTCTGAGAGCCTACCAATATCAGAATGGTTGTAAAGTAAGGGACTACTAAGGGGAGACAGAAGTCTTACCCACTGACCCCTAAAACGTCACAAAAACCCCTTGTCCAAAAAATGCAACAGTACATTAATATTTAAAAGTGGTAGCCAAACAATTATTAAACTATCATCTCTGCAGAAACTGTTAATGGTGTGACCCATTACTAATGCAGAGCAGCTAGCATGTTCAGAAGACACCTAACTTGTCTGCTCAGTGAACAACAATTTATGAATATAAGGGATTTATTTTGTTTCTGGGATGATACTGCTGAAAGTTTTATTTGAACTGAATCACTAGGGAAGCATTTCACTATTTTTATGCAATCCCAAGAAACATACCTTCCACTAACCATCTTCAAGGCAAATTAATGATATCTAGTTAATTTTATTTGTATATTTACATATTTGGGGATTACTGTGGTACATTCCAAAAACTGCAATATGGCTATCAAAGGACCATAACTTTTCTATAGCTGCTCATATAGTTACCAGTTGCACACGAAGCCCTAGGTAAAACAGATTTTAATTAAACAAACAAAAAATTACAATCCCTTTATTTATATAAACCACTTTCAGAAATCTGATTCAGCTTACCGAAAAAGAAATAGTAGGACACTGCATGAAAATACATTTTGATTTCTTGACACATTAAAAAAAGAAATCACCTTAAAGAACTGAGGCTTGTGTTCTGTATTCTAACAGTTAAACTTTAAACTGCTTTGCTACTTACCAAGCCCTCACTGGGCATAATGCTGGTGAGATGAACTACCTCAAGATGTGCTGACTGTGACACCAGAGAATCAGATGAGAGCGAAATTATGTGGTCACAAATCCCAGACAAGGTTTTACACTACAAAGAAAAACAAGTCAATGTAATTCCTCATATTAAACTGAAACTACTAGTGAAGAAGTTCTTATTATTCTTAATAACCTATTTTGGTTACCAAATAATGAGAGCAACCCTACCAACAGTGATAATTAGGTGAATTCTGCATTATACAACTTTGAAAATTTTTCCTTAAAAATTACACTGGCAGAAACGTGCCTTAGTTAATCCATTTCCTGAAGTAAAATTCTTATGCATCTTTGAACATACCCTTTAATTGATATTCTAGATCACTACAACTATGCAATAATTTCATTTTATCCTGCCTTCCAGCTAAAGATTTCAAAATCTGAATGCCAATCCACACAAACACCTTCAAAATAGGGACCCCATTACACAGACGGTAGCAGTGACGTATCCACCAAAGGCGAACAGTAAGGCTATGGATCAGAAAGGACTGGATCTGTACACTCAGAGAACCTTCACGTGTAAAGATTTATTCCCAAGTTTGTATGTGTTGCTCAAAGCATTCCTTCAAAAAGACTATACCTAAAATATTTGAACCTAATCTGAAAGCATTCATTTAGATTAATTTCAGGATGGTCTTCCAGTTGAAGTTGTGCTGTATGCATCTATTTTCCTTTAGGGACTATACTCTCATTTTCCCTAATTATAGTAAATTCTAGTGAAATCCCTTACAGGAAGTTTTATTTCAGGCATTTGCAAAACCATGAGGATTTCTAATATCTCATTTGACACTATACATATAAGTTAAACAAATAAAGTTGTCACAATGAATAAATTAACTAACTCATCTGGAAACCCACGTACAGCTCTAGAGTACCAGACGTGGCATTTGTATTTTCTGTCAGCTGCAAGATGCAAAGCATCACACTCAGGTATGCATGACTCCATCTAAATGTCACCATTACCAGACACATTTCTAGCAGTTTCAGCTTTGGGTCAGAACCCCTAAACAAAACTTTATGTCCTGTCTTCTCCCACCAGAGATATAGAAACTGGCTTGCTCAAGAGATGTACTGCTGCTCTACATATGAGCTGATGATTGACCCTGTCTGTGAATATATGCTTTCATCCAGCTTTTGAATTGCTGTCATATCAAAATATTACTATGATTTCAAACTGAGGTCCTCTCTTATGCCCTAACATTTAAGATCATAGGTACAGATTAGATGCAGACTAAAACCCAGAGACAACACTTTCTACTTTCTGATATAATGTTTTAACTTTACAGTTGTCACTTGCAAATACTTTTTCAGTGAATAAGCTTTGGAACAAAATAAACAGAAAACAAGTTTTCAAGCAAATTTATTCTTATGAATCTTTAAGATCTCCCCGTGATTCAGAAAGTTAATTAATATATATGTAGGATTTTAGCATCAGGAAAATATTCAAGAAAATTATATTGGAATAATTAAAAATACCAGTTTGATGAAAAGTAGTTCAGCAGATACAGGAGAAGCCTGACACCAGCTGTAAATAATGCAAAGGCTGAGATACTATAAATGGGAACTACTAAGCAGAATTTATGAATAACAGCACAGGGTCAGGAAGTAATGTTTGATACAGCACTATCAACATGAGATGATACATTAACATATGCTCAAGTATTTTTGGCATAAAAAAATAGAAAGGACAAAATTCTGGTATACTAGTTCCAAAACCACAGGGAAGCAAAGTGCATACTCTCCAGATGGCGCAATACTACTGTACTTAAGAAAATCTCAAACAAAAATGGTTTCTTCAAGAAGTTCAGTACCTGTTGCAGAGGAACTTTACATAGAATTTTACAGGCCAGCCAACACCTAAACCCATTTATTAGATTTCTCCCAATGGGCCACAATAAGAACAGAATCTCTGGGAAACCACCATGTGTCGAACAAGCCATACAAACTTACACATCACAAAAAGTATTTTTACTACGGCAGCCGCTGCTGGGTCGGTACAATGAATATAAGTTAATAATCTGTATTTACTGCTAAGAGAACAATTAGCAGGTTGTAATTTTTTAATTATCATAGGTATGCTATATTAGTCTAAAGAACTGATGCAATCCTGATAACCACATTTTGCTGAACAGATACCCCCCCCCCAAAAAAATCTGGCTCTCAGACACAGTTTAAGTAATCCTTAAGATCACACCTTCATAATTTATCTTTTCCCATGATAGCTGAGTCACAGAGCAGACACAATCTAGTCATAAGACTAGTGAAGGAATGGCAATTGCGCACCTCCAATTATCATCTGAGCACACACTGCCCAAGTGTGGAGCTCTTCCAAACAAATCTATATCTCAGTGAATCTCTCCAGCAACCAATGAAGAAAGTCAATCATGGATCATAATTTTATAAATCTGTCTTTACTTCTAAGTATATCTTGCTTAATATCTTTCAGAAATAAAAAAACTTGCCATGGGGTGTTTAAAAGTCATAGATTCTACCTAAATGTAAAGTAAATGTAAAATTTTACTTTAGAGCATCACAATTATTTTTCTTGAGTATTTTCTTTAATTTAATTTTATTTTTTATCTTTAGAAATAAAGTGACCATAAAAGAAATGAACAATTTACAAAGCTTATTCTCGAATTCAGTATCCTTGAAGTATTTTTTTTTTTGAGATGCTGTAAGAAAGATGGTGATTCTTCTCACTTCACCCAGAGTTACAATGATAAACAGGTTGATTCTCAGGGTCTGGATGCTCTGGATCAGGCAGTTTCAGGTGATTTTCTTCAGGCTGAGATGAGTTCTACTGCCTTGGGAGCCAGGCTCCTCAAGGTTCATCACACTTTCACTGCTGAGCCTAAGAAATACTTAAAAATGGGAACTTTTCTCTCTTCTCTTCTATCTTTTTGGGTTTCCATTTAGAACAGGTAGAAAAGTCAAAAGTAACATTCCTGC